TTGTTGTTGTTGTTATTTTTTTGATGACGTAAGGTGTAGGTTAGGAAGGGGGAGGGGGGATTTTTGAATGACAAGAGATATTTAATCTAAAAACATTATGCATATATTTATTGATACAAAAATCGATATTTTACAAAAGAACGCTATCTAGGTAGGTAGGTATCTCCAAGAGACAAGAAAACGCGTAATCCAAAAATTCCGGGTTTTGAGATTCAAAATAAAAACGTAAAAGAAAAATAACGAAATTTCCCATTCAAGCCATAAAAATTTATTGCGCCATAAACGTTTTGAGACAGGCGTACGGAAAATCCTAACAGGCAGACAGGCAATCTATTGACTGGCTCTATCTACCTGTCTCCGTTTCGTTAAAAGTCATAATAGTCCAGTCGGCGGAGCCAAAAAACGAGCCGAAATGGCTGTTGCTTGATGTAAACCTGTTTTTTTTTAATCGAACCGGGAAAATGTGTACATTCGGAATATCGACCTGCGGAAAGCTGAAAACCATGGGAAGTTTGTTTAAATTAATGAAAAGTGCAAAATAATTCAAAAATGGCCCGTTTTTTCGGATATTATCGCTTATTATTCGTAAAGGAAGTCTCGGACGAAAAAAAGTAACTAAAGATTTTTTGTTCATTATTGAATGTTGTAAGCATATTGGCGAACCAAAATTTTTAAAATTTGCATTGCAAAATAGCAATAAACTAATGAAAAATGTGGCACTTTTTCAGAGGAGCTTGACACTAATGAATCCTTCTACTTGCATTAATATCGACTAACTGCCTGTTGTCGTTTGGAGAAATTGAAGATCTTTAAAAATTGTTGTGCTTTGGGGGTGGCGATCGCCACATCGCCACCCCCTCTGGATCCGGGCCTGATTCAACTTACCGATTCCAGATTTCGTGTGGGTTATTAGACAGTTATAAGGAATGAGAGGATGCGATGCCAAAACATTCTGGTAATAATAACGCAGTTTATAAATGTTTAATTCAAATGTCATAAATAAACTTCTTCTCTTTATAAATTTTGATCTAATGAATATTTTTTGACGCTCGAAGTCATTACAGTATAGTCCAAGCATTCTGTCACGGATTAATGTTAAATTTGCAGAAATTATTTCTTGGACAAAAAAAAAAATATGACCGTATAGAAAATTAAATTTTAAATTGAGTTTCTAGTTCTTTAAACTCGATCCAATGTGGCGAACATGGTTAAAAAAAAACGCAAAGTAGAAAAAAACGTTTTTTCTAAAATAACTAAAAAAATATAGCACGGTTTGAAAAATTTTAAATGAGAAAGTTGTAGGTTTTAAAAACATCTATCGACAGATTTATTGAAAGTATCGATTGCTTTGTTACTTTTCGAGATATATCGAAAAAACCGTTAAAAATCTTCTCTTTTATGTTCTTCTATAACTCGTTTACATTTACGTGCCCATATTTGCTATTTACTGCAAGCATAGCCCGCGGCAAGCCAAAAAAGTATATTTTTGAAAAATTTAAAAATATTAATTATTTTTCGAGATATATCGATTTTTTGAAAAAAAGGCGCTCTCGAAAATTGGCTAGATCTTCTCAGCGGATAGCCCTACAGTAACGATTTTCGGTTTATTTTCTTCGTAAAGAGTTATATTATCATGCTGTTAAAAAATGTTGACGATTTTATTAATTTTAAGGATCAAAAAATGACTTTGAATAAGTTGCACTTTTTTGGATATGTTTTTTTCAAATTACTATTTCAATTTTTATTTTATGAAAATGACTTTTAAAGAAAGAAAACTAAACATTTACGGGTCTATTTTGCTTCTAAGGCGAAAATGCTATAATATTCGTGTTTAGCTACCCCAGATTAAGTACAAAAAAATAATAAAAATTGAAATAGTTATTTGAAAAAAACATACCCAAAAAAAGTGCAACTTTTTCAGTCATTTTTTGATCCTTAAAATTAATAAAATCGTCAACATTTTTTAACAGCATGATAATATAACTCTTTACGAAGAAAATAAACCGAAAATCGTTACTGTAGGGCTATCCGCTGAGAAGATCTAGCCAATTTTCGAGAGCGCCTTTTTTTCAAAAAATCGATATATCTCGAAAAATAATTAATATTTTTAAATTTTTCAAAAATGTACTTTTTTGGCTTGCCGCGGGCTATGCTTGCAGTAAATAGCAAATATGGGCACGTAAATGTAAACGAGTTATAGAAGAAGAGAAAAGAGAAGATTTTTAACGGTTTTTTCGATATATCTCGAAAAGTAACAAAGCAATCGATACTTTCAAAAAATCAGTCGATAGATCTTTTTAAAACCTACAACTTTTTCATTTAAAATTTTTCAATCCGTGCTATATTTTTTTAGTTATTTTAGAAAAAACGTTTTTTTCCACTTTGCGTTTTTTTTTTAACCATGTTCGCCATATTGGAACAAGTTTAAAGAACAAGAAACTCAATTTAAAATTTAATTTTCTATATGGTCATATTTTTTTTGTCCAGGTAACAATTTCTGTAAGCATTTCTCTATAATGCTTGGACTAGTATTTTATGGAAACTTAACCCAATATAACGTACACCTTTAGCTCAGATACATCTATTATTTCAAAAGATATTTGCAGTAAATTAATATCTTTTTTTTTCTATTAACGCCCTGCATCTCGAAAAGGATTAGATTTCCAAATAAGTTTATATGGGCAAGTACCATTATTTTTCGTTGAACTATCTGCTCCCGAAGTCTCATAGATTAAAACTGAGACACCCTGTATTTTTTGTGGCTATAAGAAAATGTTTTTCTTCCTAAAACTTGGCGTCGCCGATATTAATGGTTCGTTTACAATGAACAATAACAAACTGTTACACTTACACTTGAGATAATGCGATCGCTGATTAGTTGGAAAAAATCTCTTAAAAGATTACATCAATCGCCAGCCCATGTAAGAATGTTGTTTTAATGTGATCTTGATCATATTGTTTTAATTTTACCGAAATTTAATTGCCAACGTGGAGAAAATAAAATTACTGTTTCAAACGAAATTACTGGTCACGAGGATTGTAATCATTTATGAAGGCTCCGTACTTGTACAAACAATTCCCATAATTATTATCTTCTAAATAATTACCTGAATTGTAAACCGATATTTCACTTTTTTTTCCTTTAGAGATCGTATGTCAGCCGAACAGTGCCTCAAGCACGTCTGGTTAGACCCCGAAACTCACCAGGAAACCGTCGTCCTCTCCACGGACAAACTAAAGAAATTCATAATTCGACGTAAATGGCAGGTAGGTGTCACTTCAGTCCCCCCTAGCATGCCGTTTGTTTTTTACAGTGTTTGCATGAGTGTTCTGTTTGTTTTTCTTAGAAAACAGGTAATGCTATACGCGCCCTTGGAAGAATGGCGACGCTTTCAGCAAGCCGACGGAATTCCTCTAACTCCAATCCAAATACACCCCGCCCTTCTCTCTCAGGCAATTTGGTGCCCAAGATGTCCAGCTTGAACGAAGAGGAGTCGGCGACGGCTGCTAACGACACTAACGACACTTGCGAGATTACTAACGGCTTTACTAAAATTGATATTGACGTAGCATCCGACGAAAAAACCGGTGCGGATATTGTAAAAATAGAAGAACCCACAATGGATCAAAATGACGAAATCAGTAATGAATCTCAGCCAAAGATCTTGCTTAAATCAAGCAGCGATAACGTGAAAATTGTCAGAACGAGAGCCTGCAGCGAGAGAAGCGACAGTGGAATCAGCGATTGTTCTTCTCATATTACTTCGAGTAGTTGTACCTCGACCCCTTTGCTGGGTAAAAAGTTTTGCATAAATGAGGAAGTTGAGTACAACACCGACGACAAGAGATTTAGCTCCTCCACTACGCTTGTGCTGAACAATAGGTTAATTAAAAACAACGAGAGGAATCGTAGCGCTAGTCCCTTCGATTCATGTAAAAATGAAAATGCAAAAATTATACAGGAAGACAAGAAGCCTTTGATAATTGGCGACGAGGAAACTAAGCACTCTGCTTTGAGCTTGAAACTAAGCAACAAGATTGAAACTTTTAACGGTAATGGACCTGTAAAATGTGAGTACGTTTTGCTAATATTTACTTTTAGTGTTTTTTTTTGAGATGATTAAAACAGCTTTATTGTTGTTACCTTATAACAAATAAACAAATCCTAGTACTCTCAAAACGATGACATTAATTAATTTAGTAATTTATTTCATTGCTAAGCAACCATCAGCAAACAGTACGAGAAAGTTACTTTATCATCAAAAGTCGACATTTTCGTGAAATTTTCACTTGACAAAGTGAGTTTTTTTTTGTCACCTAGCTGTAAAATATTTTTATGTTCTAGAACGCCAAAGTCTTTTTCGTTCTAGAACATAAAACAGATGCCAAAATAATTCATTATTTAGAAACTTATTTATGATTTTAATAATTGAACAATATACGTTTTAAGTAATAGTACATTTCAATACAAAACAGCAACTATTATAAACAGCACGATTACATTTTATTTTGCATTACACATAAATTGAATGTGCCGATATTGCAGTGAGTTAAATTTATGTGGCAAGTTTCGTGGCTTCATCTGAAGATGGTAACAATTTATTTACGATTGAAATTTTATATTGTATAGAATATTCTATATGTCTCCGCTACCGTAATACCGTAATAAGATCCACTTTTTATTTGTGGAAAGGCGAAATGGGCGGTGACTATTAGACACCTTCATTATAGCCATCTTTCTCTATCGCACGGATTTCTATGACTTACTTTATCGCTCTCACGTAACGGCCGATGAACCATGGGGACTTTCCGACCCTGTATTTTCATTTGGTGTGTCTCTCAATTTCCTCTTTCGTTAGGATTCTGGACTTTTTCGGATGGTATCCAACTGATTTGCTTTTCAAATATGGTACCTATTAGTTTTGGAAATTTTCTGATATTTACATTTTTTTTTGGCATTCAGTGTACTTTTTAACTTGGAATATACTGATTATAATATCCAAGGTTTAATTTTATTGCAGCTTGTACAACTATTAAACATGATTGAAAAGTTGGCGACATTATTGCTGTTAATTATTTCATCTTCAACAATATTATTACTATTAGCAAATTGCTCTTCGTCTCTAACCCCACCTCCTTCTGAATATATTATCTGCTATGTCTAGTTTATTTGTAAAAAAATCCTCTATACAGGATGAGTCAGTTTTTTGTGGTAGGATTTTAACAGTTGCTAGAGATTCATTTTTTAATAAGAAAAGTTCCTATAAACGTAGGTCTTAGAACGCTTCGTTTGTGAGATATAGGGTGTTGAAAACAAACTTTTTTTAAGAATTTTTCTTAATATCCCTAAAAAGTCCAACATATATTGAAGTGGAATTTGGTATTAATAACATATTAGTTATGGTGAATAAAATAAAGATATTTGTTAATCATTTCACCCACCAGTGACGTGTCCGAGGTGGGTTATTGCCCCCTTTAAAAAAAAAATAATTCGTACGCCCGTGAATTTTTCTGGAAAATAACATCATTTCTAAATTTTATAATCAATTCTGAACAAAACAGAACTCTCAATTTTTTATAAAATGAACGGTTTTTGGTTAAATTCATTTGGCATGAAACTGTTCCAACGATATTGGTACCTAATACATTTGTGAACTAATAAGAAAAATATAATGTGGACTGAAAATCAACAAAAACGATTGAAATAATAATAACAGTTGATAGAAAATCATTTTTTAATAAGAAAAGTTCCTATAAACATAGGTCTTAAAACGCTTCGTTTGTGAGATATAGGGTGTAGAAAACAAACATTTTTATGAATTTTTCTTAATATCTCTAAAAGACCAACAGATATTAAACTGAAATTTGATATGAAAAAACAAACACAACTTAAAAAAAGAACTAATTGACACACACGTTACACAATGTTTGCGTTCTTATGTCAACGTTATGACATTTAAACGTTTTTGTTGATATACAGGGTACATCATATTTTTCTTATTACAAATGTATTACCAATATCGTTGGAACAGTTTCATGCCAAATGAATTTAACCAAAAACCGTTCATTTTATAAAAAATTGAAAGAGAGCTGTTTTGTTCAGAATTGATTAAAAAATTTAGAAATGATGTTATTTTCCAGAAAAATCTACGGGCGTACGAATTATTTTTTTAAAGGGGGCATTAACCCACCTCAGGCACGTCACTGGTGTGTGAAATGGACAACAGATATAGTTGTTTTATTCACCATAACTAATGTGTTATTAATACCAAATTTCAGTTCAATATATGTTGGTCTTTTAGAGATATTAAGAAATATTCTTAAAAAAATTTTGTTTTTAACACCCTATATCTCACAAACGAAGCGTTCTAAGACCTACGTTTATAGGAACTTTTCTTATTAAAAATGATTCTCTATCAACTGTTAAAATCCTACTACAAAAAACTGACTCACCCTGTATATCCTTTGACAACGTTTGCAGGTTTTCATACCCCATATTTCTTTAAATTAATTAACCAAAATGGTCGCAGATAATCGTCGGTAACAATATCTTGTGTATTTATCTGCATTTGGCAAATTTAAGAATTTTGCGATATTTTGAGGCATTCTACCACACTGATGTATTTCTACTACTTGCCTGCAACCTTTCCTATTTGAATACTTAAAGAAAAAGCGGTAACTTTCAAAATTTTCTGGGCTACATACAAGATATTTTCTATACAGTGGCATATAAGTTTCGTTTGTTTTTTTCTGGTATTTTAATCAAATGCTTTGATCCGAAATCACCGATATCATTCAAATTTAATTGAAACAGTTCATCACGACGACATGCACCAACAACACCAAATATTAAGTCATCCTAAAAAGGGAAAACTAATGTTTTCACATATAAATGTACCTTATTCCTTAAGGTGCTTGAGTATAAAACTGTTCAAGTTGTTTATTTGACAAAACTTTTGACTTCTTTAGTTTATAGTTGTGTACCTTGACGTTTCAGTAAAACACGTAATTTCAAATATTTTGAGATACAATGTTTTCCTTTGTACTAAGTGTTGATCTCAATATGGAGTAATTTGGAAACAAATTCTTACTTTGACTGATGGTGGATATATTTTAACACATGGGTATTACAACGAATTTGAGTTGTTGTCAAAGAAACGATATTTCGTAGGCAAATAGATTTTAAAGATGAAATGTTGCACTTGACGCTGATAGCCGCTATTCTAAATCACTGCGCCTAAGCTTATTTCTTTTGGCTTCTGTCCAATTGCATTCTTTCCAAATCTCTGCGTGAATCAAAACCGCAAACTTATTGTGTCGCCAACAACGTGGATAAAATAAAATGTCTGAATTAGCATGATTGTTATAAAATTGTACACCTAAAATACAATTGATACGCATAATGACAAATATAAAAGTATAATAAATAGTTTTTTCTGTGTTTCAGCTAAATCACCAAGTGCGGCAAGTAGCCTGAAACGGCTGCCTATCTACACATCCCGCACTGTCGCTGGTACAATAAAAAAATTCGACTTATCACCTGACGTTGCCGAAAAACCACCAACTAACGACATTCCCAAAATTGAGGAAAATCTATTGAAACCTAAAACCGTATTTAATAAATTCCACGACGACCAAAATTCTGAACCACTTAAAGACGTTACCAAGATAAAAATATGCGGTCAAATAGTTACCAAACACTCAAGCCAACAACAATCCAAAGTAGATAAAATTGTGGAAAAATTGTCAAACACGAGTAAAACCTCTAATGGCAACGTGTTGTCTTCCGCCCCTACTACTGTTAGATATAGATGTCCTTCGCCCTCTTTGTTGCGCAAAACTCAAGCCGTTATCGCAAAGGAACAGTGCAACGAATTTTACATGGCGAAGCAGGCGCTGAAAAGCCCCGCTAACTCCCCCAAATTGACGCCCAAATTTAACCACAGCAAGACTAGTTATCCCAAGCCCAAGTCGCCAATTGTAAATAAGAAGGATAAACCAAAAAGTGAAAGCTTTCAAAAGGCAGCGGCGTTTTGGAATTCACCTAAAACTTAAAAATTACTGTTAATACTTGAATTTGTGTATTGTAAAATATTGTGTACATATTATATTTTATCTATATACCGGTCTAGTGCCTTAAAATTATATATATTTTCATAGTTTTAGCTCTCTTAAAGTTTTATTTTTGTGTTATGCAGATCTGTTGTACCCTCCAATTTTGTGTATGTTAAACAACCTCATAATAAATATTATTTATTGTTACATTGGAGTTTTTATTGCATATTTTTCTTTTTTTTAGAAATACTGTTTCAAAAATAGCGTTTTATGAATTATTTAGTTCGTTGGGAGTATACAGGGTGTAAGAAGTTTGACTGCCATTATTTCAGCATGAGAAATATAGTAATTATAAATGAACAAAAAAGTTGTATATTGCATGGGCGTAAGATTAACAGTTTTCAAAAGACAACGAGTATTAGTATTGGGGAATTTCATAACAACGTGACAACTGCGTTTAACCTAACGCTACACAGCTGGTGCATAAAACGTGTGCACGCGGCAGACTTGTCCTATGGAAAAAATGTAAACAACTTATTGTAAAACATTTAGTCAAGACGATTGTTTTCCAGTTTCCAAATAAATAAAATAAAACGTATGAATTTAGTTCGAATTTTAGTAATTATGAATCTCTTAAAATAGGAACTTAACTTTTAGTCAAATTATAAATTTGAAAAATGTGTACCTAAATTAAAGTATCCAAAGATTCACGTCGTCCAAATAATTATACGTATTAAAAATAATTTAGGTACTTACCAAAAAGCAAAATTCAGTTATTTTTACACGAACAAGTACAAAACAAACTACAACATATGCTCAAAATGTCCACCACAATTTTGGATCGACATCTTCGCATCCAATTTTCGCGCTGTCGCTAGAAAATACCTCAAGAAAAGGAAATAGTGGTACGCAAAAAACAGTCAGTCACGGTCAAATTCCAGATTCCAACTGAATTGCATATTGCTAGTTAGTACGTATAGGCTATTGATTATATCCAAAGAACAGGGTTAAAGGGAACTATGACGTTCAAGCAATTTTATTGCATGAATCGTTCAAAGGGTCATTTTAGATGAAAAAACCGCGGAGTGCTATTGAATTAGAGGGTGGAAATTGGAGATAGGGGTGAAAATGCACCCCTTTTAGTTTTTTAATTGTAGCTCGAAAGAGAAGCAAAATTTCGCTATAGTTCATGGGGAAAATTTTATACAAAACATCGTTAATAAACAATTTAGAAAAAAGCAAAAAATTCGATTTTTTTATTTTTTTTTACGTTTTTGCCTCTAATTTTTTTTGAGTAAAGATATGTATTCGCTGTGAGCTTCGCTGGTATCGCCACCTAGCGGTTTTATATCTACAACTTCTCTCGGAAATTTAGTGACTGAAAGTGTATATGCCAAATACAAATGATATTTAATACTTTTTATTTAATTAACGTAACAAAGAAGTTATTAGATCGTAATCTATGATTAATATCAGTAAGTAAACAATTTTATTCATTATAATTATTACACAGCCCCACAAAATAAAAAAAAGTATCGGATCTGGTATTCAGAACCATGTATTTTTTTCCGCTGAATCCGAATCTGCCTTCATATTTGGCCCAACGGGTCTGAGTTTTCGGGAAAATTTAAAAAACAGGTCAAAATTCACAAAAAACGTAATTTACGATAGACGAAAGTTATAAAAAAATCATATTATTCTACCAGCTCACTAGTCGTATAATTTTCACTCTTTTAATTCCAATTTATCATCATAGAGTCAGACAAGCTGGTCCAATTTCATTCAAAAACAGAAAATAGATTAAAAACGCCATTTTCATGGCATAATTCGTGTTACAGAGCTCTGAATCCATCTTTTTATCCACCCACCCATTTATGAATTTATACATCTTTCTATCCAGTCATTCATGCATGAATATGCATATTTATTCATCCACCTGTACCACCTATAAAACCCACCCATCCACCCATCTATCGATCTACTTTTTGTACTGAGAGATGAGATAACAGCCTAGAAGATTGAGAGTGCAATAAAACTTGTAGAATACTCTACTTTCTAAACAAAAGAAAACAATATCTACAAATCATTCTTATTTTTGCTGGAAACAAGAAGAGTCCTAAATACGAAGAAATTGTATAAAAAATGATAAAAGCCTTCAATATCTAGGATGTTTGATGAACTATAAGTTGCACTACTTTCATTCACATCTGGATTGGTTTCGTGAAAATGTATGAATTCATAAATGGGTGGGTGGATAAAAGATAGATCCAGAACTCTGCAACAACAATTATGCCATGAAAATGGCGTTTTTAATCTATTTTCTGTTTTTGAATGAAATTGGACCAGCTTGTCTGACACTATGATGATAAATTGGAATTAAAAGAGTGAACAATCATACGTCTAGTGAGCTGGTAGAATAATTTGATTTTTTATAACTTTCATCGATCGTAAATTAGGTACGTTTTTTGTGAATTTTGACCTGTTTTTTTGAATTTTCCCGAAAAATCAGACCCGTTGGGCCAAATCTGAAGGCAGATTTGGATTCAGCGGAAAAAAATACATGGAAACACATGGGTCTGAATACCAGATCGGATACTTTTTTTATTTTGTGGGGCTGTGTTATTTTTAAGATTTTGCACTTCATTTTGTGATTATGTTGACTGCGATTATTAGAATAGGAGAATTTTCCCTCCAAAATTTAATTATACTTGCAATAAATAAAGAAATGATTAAAAATATGGTCTGAATAGCAATGTTTTTTATTTATTTATTTATTTTTCTAGTTTTGGAAAAATGAGTATTTCAATCAAACTGTGATCAAATGACTACTACAAATTACATGACTTTTTTTAGGTAACCATCCTGGCCCCATGATTAAATGCTCTACCTACAACATAAAATTTTAATTATTATTTAGATAGATTTTAAAGATTAATTTTGATTCACATATCACAACTTACATTTTCAATCAATGTCTATTTTAAAATTGAAAGTTATATTTACTTACTTTTTTCTAATTGCATCAATCCATTTTTGTCGTTGACCCAGTTTTTGAGTAGCTTTAGGGAATTTGTAAAATACACAGTCGCTATTGTAACCGTAATTGTAATTTTATAATCTTTGATACAACTTGTGTGTCCCATTTAAAAATATCCTTATGCAGAAGATTTTTAAATTTCCGACCTAAGTTCACTAAGTTGACGCTACTAGCGCTCGCAAATGTTTGACTATCCCCTCTACCTACTTGCTCACAGCGAATAGACATTGCTTCATAAAAAAGTAGATAAAATTTCCTTCGAAATAAGAGGTTGTAAAGTATTTTTGGGATGAAAATTGACAGATATATGACCGCTCAAACTTACAATTAGCCAATTTTTCGATTTTCGTCGCATTTGCCCTTATACGTTTTAATCCTCATTTTTTGCAAAAAAGGAAGGAAGACGTTCAAGGATTTTCATCACAGGACTTGTTCGAAGGGTCATTAAAAATGAAAAAACCGCGGGGTGCTATTAAATTAGAGGTTTGAAATTGAAGATAGGGGTGAAAATGCACTTTAATTTTTTAAATATAGCACGGAAACGAAGCAAAATTTCAGTAAGTATAGTTCATAGGAAAAATTTTGTAGAGAATTGAATTTCCTGCCGAAATGGCTTATTTAAAAATTTTAAAAGAAAAATTTTATTCAAAAAATCTTTAATAAACAATTTTAAAAAAACAAAATAACTTTTTGATTTTTTTTACTTTTTTGACTAAGTTGTGAAAATCTTTATTTATTATTAACAAATAAAACGTTTGAAATAATTTTTTATTAAGTAAAGAACCAGTTTGTTGTACCTATAAATAATAAGAATTATAATCATTATTATTTTAAAAAGACGAAAATCTAAAAAATATTTAAGTTTGACCGGTTATAACTCAGTCAATATTAGTCTCATCTAGTTTTTTTGTACAGCAATTTTCTTTGCCTACTTCTACTAAAAAAATTATAGTGCGAAAAGTAGAAAAAAATCAAAAAATCTAATTTTTTGCATTTTTTAAAATTGTTTATTAACGATTTTTTGCATAAAATGTTTTTTTTTTTAATTTTGTAAATAAGCCATTTTGATGGGAAACTCAATTCTCTACAAAATTTTTCCTCAGTCAATTTTCATCCAAAAATACTTTAAAACCTCTTATTTTGAAGGAATTTTTATCTACTTTTTTTATGAAACAATGCCTATACATATCTTTACTCAAAAGAAACTAGAGGCAAAAAGTAAAAAAAATGAAAAAATTGAAATTTTCTACTGTTTTTCAACTTGTTTATTAACGACTTTTTACATAAAATTTTCCTTTTAAATTTTTTAAGTAAACCATTTCTATGGGAAATTCAATTCTCTAAATAATTTTTCCTATGAACTATAGCGAAATTTTGGTTCATTTTCGAGCTACAATTAAAAAACTGAAAGGGGTGCATTTTCACCCCTATCTCCAATTTCCACCCTCTAATTTAATAGCACTCCACAGTTTTTTCATCTAAAATTACCCCTTGAGCGTCACATTGCTCGATATGAATTTTATCGAATTTTAAATTTATTATAACGTTAATTATTTTTTAGGATTAAACATAAAGAAGTTTTATGCACGCAGTTATGTCAATATTTCTTAATTAATAGAAGTTTTGTACATGAAGTTGGAGATTTTGATAATTTTTTCTCGGAAATGGTTGAGTATAGGACCCATGTCATATAAGATTTTTTTGTTTATTTTAATGTATTCTATCGTCTATTAAAATTAAGGCAGTCAAACTTCTAACACTCTGTATATCTAATCTCATTCGTTGATACGGGCCGCTGTATCTAAAGAAATTTAAAAATGTCTCGTTATCCCAACAATTACATCCGTAAATTTTTTTTTTTTTGGTTTTTCGTTTATAAATGGAAAGGAATAGAAGTACCATTATTATTATTGTTGTTATTAAATATAAGTACATTTACAGATACGAACTTTTACTATTTTGATACAACACAAATTCTATTTTCTGCGAGTCAGATGTAGCCACACTCCACCAGATGCTCGTAAAGTTGCCCTATAAACTAAATCCAAATTTTCATGGCCAGGAACAATACTGATTTGGAACCTCTTTAAAATACCAGCTAAGACAATTTTCACTTCTAATAAAGCAAATTTGTATCCTGGAAAGAAAAAAGTTACTTTTATTAAATTCCACAAAACGTTTTAAAATATTTCAAAATATTCCGAAATGTTCATGCATATTTTTTAACCACATTTTCGATCTTTTCAAATTCTCTCAATTAAACTAAAATTTCTTCTTTGAAAATTGTTAATTTAAGGTAGATATATAAAAATAACACTAATAAAGCTAATCTTAATAATGTAAGACGTGTAATAAAAATTAATCATGATGGAAAGTACTTACAATTCTCGATATACACAGATTGTGCGTATCGAAACAAAGAATGATTACGTTTCAAAATATAGAAATATTAAATGAGATATATGTGTGACTATTTGTTTATAAAATTAAGTAATAATAATAATAAAAATAAACAGCAGAATAACAAACAATGACTTCATAATTTTAAAATTTGTATGAGACTAATATTTTGATTAGAAAGATTACCTCAATAAATAAATTACGTGACAATTGTTGGAACCATTTGAAATATGTAATATGGGAGTTCCTTCCTATTTTATTAATATTGTATGTTGATGATTTGGATTTCATAATTAAAGATAAATTAGAGTGCAAATGTAATTGTGTTTTTATATCTATAAAAGTTTTTTTTTATTTTTTGCAAAACTATTTATAACATTTCAGATCTGATTGAATTAAAATTAAAATAATGCGCAATTTAGGCCATCCTGTATTTCCAGTAGTTTACGGTATCTCTGTGGTATACCATTAAATAGATCTAACCCGATATATACAGGGTGTGCCATTTAACACTCCCGCTACCAATATCTCCGAGATGAAGAAATTTATTTTAGTTCTGGATACTGGGGTTGTTAGGTCCCTCGAATAGCTTTAAACTGCAGTTAGAATTGTTAGTTCAAATCTTTCTGTATAGACGGCGTGGCGATACTTTTTTTATTACTGGAACGTCGAAATGCAGTCCATCTGAAAGATTGTTAAGGAGGGAAAGTTTCTGTAGATTCGCTAGTGACCGAAGTAGTAAGTCTTTAGATTTGGCAACGTTGCACTTGGCTGGTGCGCTCGGCTTGGTGTTCGCTCGCTCCCGTTCGTCATTCTGTTTGTTTGGACACCTGCGAATTTCAAATAATACGCTACGTCGAGACCGCGGCGTTGCCGCTATCACGCATATGGAGGATAAGTTAGTCAACGACAGGAGTTTGAAGAAGAATTATTATAAATTATGTATCTTACAAGTACCTAATCGATTTCTACGAGCTGTCATACGGTTCCTTAGATATCGGTGGCCTATTTACACAAGTTGCTGTGGAAACTGTTCGTCAATTGTTGCGCATTCTAAGTGGAAAGACCAAAAAAATCTGCATTCTCATAAGACTCTGTACTAAATCGTGAAAATTATTTTATTAATATCTCGTCTCTTAGGTATCCAAACTAGTCATAATTTTTTTTAAGGATTTTCTTCATATTAATAAGCTTATATTAATTTTTTTATGAATATTTGTTCGTCAATTCCAAATCAGATAAACCTCCTTAAATGTTGAGTAATTTTTGTAATATTAACTTTTTCCCAATATTTACTTGTCGAGACATGTCGACTTCAGTATGCAATGTTGTGTACATACAAGACATGGCAGATTTGTATAATAAAATTTATGCAGCTACGGCGGCTTTAGATCGTGACGTTTAATTAAGAGCCTGTAATGTCGAACTAACGACAACACGAGAAGACTAACATTGTGTATTAATGCTGAAGGACGTAATTACATTAACGCTGAAGATTATAATAAATGTCCAACATTTATTATAATCTTTGTTTTAACTTACTTCAGTTAACTAAATACATCTACATCTCCGTTATTATTTTAAATACTTTCTGTTACTTTTTCTGTAGTTGATCACTTGTTTTTTTATAATTTATTGTTTGCACAGTATTTTGTCAAAAAAATACTAAATAGTATTTTAAATATAAAATAGTATTTTGTATTTTGTAATCAAAATATTTTTATTATATCCCCAAACATATTTTGTATTTCAAATACTTTAATAAAATATTTTATATTTTGTATTTTAAAAAAGTATTTAACATCTTCTAAAAGTAATTTAAATACGCTTAAATATTTAAAATACTCGAAGTATTTAAAATACCCAAAATACCTATCAAAAACAAAAACTTTTTGTCTGTTACGACTGGCGACAAGTGCTAAAAAAAATTACGCACCTGCACACCTGGATTTAGGGCATTCTACTCTGAATTCTGCAATGTTCACTGTGTTATTGCTATACTGTCTAATACGTTTTAAGTCACTATCATCACTAGTCAAGTCAGTAGACAATCAGCAAAATTTAAAATTGATATATTTTATCATTAGTGGGCGATTCTAAGAAAAACTAATAAATAATTATGAGTGAATTAAATATTCTGTAAGTTTTTTTTTTTAATTTTTTGATCTTGAAATCGGGCTTGCTTTACACATATAATATATTTTTTGCAATCACATCTTAAATTTCAGATTTAATATTTCACCAAAATATTTTAATATTAATGAATATTTTCAATATATTCAATATTCAATATACTTAAAATACTATTTTAAATACTCTACGTAATTTATATTTAAAATACTTTGCCAAAGAAGTATTTTGTTTTTAAGTATTTTAAAATACATTCGTACTAATATTTTATAATTTGTATTTTAAATACATTTTGAAGTATTTTGCCCAAATCTGATTGTTTGTTGGTATGTGGTGTGAAAAAGCCATTATAACCATATTTTGTCTCAGTGTGACTTAAATAAAATAATAGATTTTCCTGTTACATCACCATTTGCATATTGAAGTCAACATGCCTCGAAAACAAATAATTATTGGGAAAAACTTTATATTACAAAAATTACCCAAAATTTAACAATCTTTCAGATGGACCGCATTTCAACGTTCCAGGAATCAATTGTTTTTTTAGTATAGTCACGACATCTACACTAGAAGATTTGAACTAAATTTTGCTAAGAAAATGGATCTAAAACTATTTTGTAGCAAAAATTAGTCAACTTGCCTATACAATTTCGCTGTCCCATGCTGAAAGGAATAAATGCAAACGGATGGCGTTTGTCCATTTCTTCCTGTGAAAATCTTTCTGGATCGAATTTCAACGGATCCGGATAATGGTGCGGTAGTCTGTGTGTAATGAACGGTGAAATAAATATGTTGGTACCAGCTGGAAATGTGCGTCCATCTAAAAAATGTGACCCACATATTACTGTTCTTTGATACAGCTGAAAGATTTTATTATAGAAAAAAAATAAGGGTGTTTAGGTAAAGTTTCGAATTACAGATGTGTGGGTGTGGTAGTCAGATTTTTAATAGTATGTGTTTCCCGGAATAGTAATCTGAAATTGTTTGTGCTTTTTTTTAAATCAAATAAATATCCTGAACTCGGTTATATGTGTGTGCTTATTAATATTAAAATCAACTATATTGGAATGACAGAGAGCAAAAGTGCAAGGGAAATAACCCAGCCCTACGAAAAAAAATGTATGTGCATCGGACTAGACCACTCATGTCTTCGAGATCGCTGAGTCCGAATCCGGGGTCTGTTTGACCTTGTCAGGTTAAGGTAAAGGTTATTTCAAAGTCAAACCGAGAAAAATCCTCTGTGGCTTAGGCAACCATAGTTATTATATGTTTCCGGGTTCGTTGAGTTCGAATCCGACACCTGTTTGGTCTTCTTAGGTCAGGTTCAAGGTCATTATAAGGTCATTCCGAAGTCAAACTGAGAAAAATCCACATGTACCATATAGGTATAACTCACTCTACTGTCTTCCAAAATTCTCCCTCAATTTCACGCACGGTAACTATTCAAAACCTTTCTTACAGCGAGGAATGAAAATGTTAGTAATCAATAATGCTGCATAAAATTACAGTGTCGGATTTTCAAATTGATTGAAAAAGACCATGCTAATGTGAAGACTCGTGAATGTTGAGAATCTTTCGGTCCACTATACAGGGTGTATCTAAATAACACCGAAAAAATTCAAGGGGCGATTCTCCGATGAAAATTAATAGGGGTCTCTGGTATAAAATTTTTTGAAAAAACCCTCCCCTGAAATAAAAAAAATATTCCTGGTGAATTTTTTATCGTTTCACACCCTGCTACAATGCGGTTTCGCAAATCATTGATATCTTCAACTGGCCTTGAGTAGATCAAAGATTTCAGATATCCCCATATGCAAAAATCCAAAGGATTAAGGTCAGGGGAGCGGGCTGGCCAATTTACATATCCTCCTCGACCTATCCATCGATTGGCATACACCTCATCCAAGTGACGTCTTGCACGTATACTAAAGTGGGCTGGTGCACCGTCGTGCATAAACCATAAACGTTGCCTAATTTGAATGGGAACTTCTTCAAGAATAATAGGTAATTCTTCGAGAAGATGACAATATGAGTCACCATCTAATCGTCGTGGAAGAAAATAGGGACCAATTAAATGATCGTCGATAATTCCGAGCCACACATTTAATGAAAATTGATACTGATGATTTCCTTCAAAAAAGTCATGAGGATTTTCCTCAGCCCAAATATGATTGTTACGAAAATTTCTAATACAGTCTCTTGAGAAATTCGCCTCGTCAGTAAATAAAATATTTCTTAAGAACTGCGGCGCTTGGCCGATCATATTAATAAGCCATTGACAAAAAACCACACGTGGTAAAAAATCTCGAATCAGTAACGACTGCACCCGTTGGAGATGATAGGGATATAACTGTTGTTCTTTTAAAATTCTAAAAACTACCGAATGGCTTACATTTAGGACACGAGCTATTTTCCTGGTACTAGTTTCTGGGGATTCCTCAATTAAATTAAGTACGGCTTCATCGACAGCTTCAGTTCTAACTTCTCGGCTACGGCCACAGTCATGACTTCTCTTTTCAAATTTTCCAAGTTCCCGCAAGCGTTGGTGAATATTTGTGAACGTAGTATGGTGGGGTAATCTACGCTCTGGGTACTGTTCAGCATAAAGTCTTTGCGCTTCCAATGCATTACCGTTAGCATACCCATATGTAAAATGCATATCTGCCATTTCTAAATTCGAATAGTTAACCATATTTTCGGTTTATTAACTAATATTTTCTACACAAAATCATGAAACTTGTGAAATAGTAAGAAACAGTAACAATAAATGACATTGACATTTGTTTCTACGGATTCCATTGTAAAGAACAGGCCACTAGATCTTTCGGCAAAATACACTCGCGTTAAACAGCTCATCTTTTTAAAAATACATTACAATACATTTATTTTTTTTTGTCATAAATCCTTAACTTTTCGAAGAAACTTGAAGAGATCAAAAAGTTAGTAAATGAATGGGGTTTTTTAGACATATTTTTTAAAAGGAAAAAATTTTATCGAAAAAAAAATTATAAGAAAAAATGTCATAGGGGTTGATTATTTCAACCCCTTACAAAAATAGTTCAGGGTTGAAAAAAATTCAAAAAGTGTAGTTTTATTGACAGATAATGTTCACCAAGTTTGGTTTCTTTAGCTTGATGTACGTGGAAGATAAAAAAGAAAAACAATTTTTTTTTGTAATTTTAGGAGGGGCGTAACTTTTCAGGGGAGGGTTTTTTCAAAAAATTTTATACCAAAGACCCCTATTAATTTTCATCGGAGAATCGCCCCTTGAATTTTTTCGGTGTTATTTAGATACACCCTGTAGATGAGCGAGGCAAAAATTGCTTTGTAGGACAAGCCAACTAACCTGACCTAACAAGACCAAACAGACGTCGGACTCGGACATAGCGAGCCCAAAAACATACAGTACGCGCCTAAAGTATGGAATAAATTCAGAAAAACGAAACAAATATTTTTTTGGGAAAAATCCTGGAACAGGTCGATTTTTAATTTTAAAAATACATATTTTAGCATAAAAGGTGATTTTCAACCGTCATTTGTTTTCGAGTAATGACGTCATCGACATTTTTTTTTTAAATAGCAACCCTCTATTTTTTTCTTGATTCTGAAAGATCGTTTCATTGTCGATCCGACGGTATTAAGATGTTGCCATCTTACATAGGAAAGTTTTCGAGTAAATGAAAACGTAAATTTTATTCATTAAAAAAATAACAATTCCTATGTCAAGCATATATATCAAGTATATATAGTTCATTAAGTTTACTACCTAAATTAAGTGTTCGAATTGCCACCCACCGACTTCTTGACAATACGCAACTCTGTGCAGAAATTCTTCTTGCACATTATGAAATATTTCTGGGGTAACTGTGTATTTCATCTATAATACAATTTTGGAGTTCTTCTAAATTATGTGATCTATTAACGTACACTTTGGACTTTAAGTAGCCCCATAAGAAATAGTCCAGAGGTGTAAGATCTGGGGATCTCGTGGGCCATTCTATCGGTCCTCGTCTGCCGATCCACCTCCTAGGAAAACAATTGGCCAGAAAATCTCGAACAGGACGCGCATAGTGCGGTGGTGCACCGTCTTGCTGAAACCATATGGTGTCATCAGGAATATCAGGGTCATTAATGTTAAGAAAAATTACTGCAAGCGATGGAACAAGGTCATTTTGTAAAAACTCTAAATATCTTTCTCCTGTAAGGGTTCCTTCAAAGAAGAAAGGCCCTATTATTCTGTTGTCAACTATTACAGCCCATACATTTAATTTATGTGGGTGTTGGGTTTGTGTCTTTGCCATCCAATGAGGATTTTCCCGACTCCAATACTTGCAAGTTTGACGGTTCACTGTACCATTGCATTGAGACAAAACGTGGCCTCGTCTGAAAAAAGTATTTGCCGGTGTAAATCTCTATTTACTTGACATAAATCCATCATAATTTCACATATGTGTAAGCGGCGGTCGGGATCGTCTTCATTGAGTTCACAAGTTGAATTTTGTAGGGATGATATTTTTCCTTCCTCAGGATTCCTCCCTGTGGTCTGACTAATTTCATTGTTTAATGAACCAATCGTGAAGTATTATGAGGATTATCTACCATACTTATCAAAATGTTCTGTTTGTGATCTTCACTAACGCTTGGACGTCCAGGTCCAGGTTGCTTTATTTTAATTGATTTGGGTTTTCTAACATTCAATCGTCATTTACTCGAAAACTTTCCTGTGTAAGATGGCAACATTTTAATACTGTCGGATCGACAATGAAACGATCCTTTAGAATCAAGAAAAAAAATAGGGGGTTGCTATTTAAAAAAATGCCGATGACGTCATTACTCGAAAACAAATGACGGATGAAAATCGCCTTTCATGCTAAAATATGTATTTTTTAAATTAAAAATCGACCAGTTCGAGGATTTTTCCCAAAAAAAATTTCTTTCGTTTTTACTGAATTTATTCCATACTTTAGGCGCGTACTGTATAATAACCAGGTTGTCTCCACCATAGGGAATTTTTCTCGGTTTGACCTTAAAATGACCTTTAATCTGACCTGACAAGGTCAAACGGATCTCGGATTCGGACTCGACGACCTTGAAAACATGAGGATATAGTGGTATAGTCCAATACACATAATTTTTTTTATGGGGCTGTGTAATTTTGTAAAAATATACTGCCTTTGTATGACTTTGCGACATGTTATTTTGGCCACCATATTTTTTTGATGTCAATTAAATTGCAAAAAAAATTCTAGTAAATTTTTCATAAAAATTATATTACTACTTTTTAGAGCACTGTGTTTAGTTTGTGAATATTAGTGTCAATGATCCCTGAAATCGACCTAGTTCAAGTGAACTAATATCAATGCACTTGATGTGATATGACAGGAGACACAAAACAAACGACCATCGCTAATTCCGCGTTGAATATGTCACCGCGTGAGGTATTAGTTTTTACTGGAAATAGTTTCATTTTATAATAAAAGTATTTAATAACGGTATGTGTGTTTGTGTGTTTTCATTGTTAAATTTATGTGCGATAAGAAAAAATATGCACATGAATCAAGAAAGATGAAATTTGACCATAATGTGGAATCTAGCTCCTAATTGGATACAGGGTAGGCTCGAGATTAGCGCTCGCAGTTGTTTGATGTTATACTAACCTGTCCAGTGACGAGGTATGAAAAATTAATTAAATAAAAGTTGAAAAAGAACGATGAAATTTGAAAAACAAACTTATAATCTGAGTAAATTTTTTAATTTATTTCAAAAAGAGATATAATGCAATTTTGATTTTGAACATTTTTCGGGTTTATTTGACCAACTATTCAAAAATAAAATTGAAATTAGATTTTTCAATGCGACGGTTTATCGTTCAGAGATCATCAGTATTTTTTTATATTTTTGCGCCGTTCCTTATTGCTTTCCGTGTCCAATGATTACCATATATTATTGTTTGTTGATGAAAAGTCATCATCATGATTATTGTTCTTCATAAGGATGTTGGTGTTTACGACGTTTTTTAGAATTTCAGAGTAATATACTGTAAATATAAACAAAAATAACAAAATTTTAATGGGAGTATGACTTCGATATTGTTTCCAACAATGCTTATACTATTTACTTATTCCAATGTCGAGTCCTATGTAAGTTATAATTTCATGAAGAGATCTAACATATGATTTCTTTATGTTTAATAATTATAATTTGTGAATAAATTTTTTTTATACGTCAATGCGTCCACATCGTCAAATAAATGCTGCTATTTACATTTTTATATTGTACAGAGACTCCCTTTTGTACAGAGACTATTTGCTGTAGAGACTATTTTTGTAGACTTTTTTGTGCAGAGTATTTTGTTTTATATAGTACAGAGATTCTCATTGAGTTTTAAAAAAATTAATGAACAGCAAAGTCTCAGCAATACCATCATTTATATTAGAACAAAAACTAGAAAATTTGTGGGATAAAATAAGCCGGGAAAACAATATATTGGAAGTTTAAAAAAAAATCTGTTTTCAGTTTCTCTACCCAAAATAATTGCATTGCAACAACGTTCAATCTGACACACCTCAGTATACTTTATTTTATTTCTGTTGACATTAACAAGAGTCCATGCGTGACAATGTTTTTCTGACCACAAATACAAACCTAATGTTACATCTTCTGTTAGAATCCGAGATATTATAGGGACGCTAGGAGCCAGCCTCAACGATTCTTTGATGCACTGTTCCAAATACTTCAGATTGTGCAATGTCGCTACACTCGGTTTTGCTTTTTCAAAAACTGAATCCAATTCTTCCACTATCTTGCTCTGAATGTTCTCATCTCTGGCGATGTAATAGAGACTGAAAGCAACTGCGGCACCAACGGAATCCTGTCCCTAAAATTCTTTGTGTTACAAGCAAATTGAAAAAAAATTTGTCGGGAGTGAATTACTGCTAACATAAAGGTTACTACTTCATTAATTATATCTTCGTCGGTGAAATCGCGATTATTCTCGGAGATTTCTATAAACATGTCTAATAAGCTTTGGGACGTCGTTTTCTTGGCTTCATTTTTTCTTCTGTCCAAGATCTGAAATTATTCATAGATATTTAGTAAAAGTTATAGATATCTGTTCATTCTTAATAAATAATCTCTAAAATGGCTATTTATGCATAGAAATACATAGTGGTTTACGAGGAATATAATGTTAAAACAATTAAATGGTTTTCCGGTTTGAATGTACAGTGCTTTTTTAAGGTAACAATTGATATTTTTGGTGTGGTTTTCTTATGCCCGTTTGCACCGTTTAGAATTTAAGCCAAGTTCAACTGAACTTGGTTTAATTTTAAAACTAGGTTTTAATAATCAGCTTTTGCACCACTTACTGCCAATTGTAGATTAAATTAAACTGGGCTTTAGGAATACTGTTTAGGGTTTTTATAATGCTGCTAACTTATGTCCAGTTATGTTAGGAAAAAAATATGTTAAAGTCACATTCTCAAACCAAAATTTTAATGTGAGTACCATCAATGGCACCTAATACCCTAGGAACTGATGCAATTTTATAGAACTCATGTTGCACACTAACTATTTCTTTTGGGTTTGGCATTTTTATATATCTCTAATAAAGCCGAGCTATTGCAATTGATACTCCTACAATTATTCTGGACACTGTTGATATGTCCATCCCTGAAAAGTCTGCAATGGCAGAAAAATGACCAGCACAAGCATAGAACCAATTGTTGGATAGGAGATACACTATTATTCCCAGAAATACAAAATCATATTAAGAATAAAAGCTTTTTATAACTCCAACATTCCGATTGCCAGTTGCATCGTGTTCATGCCGACGTGTTCGTTAAAATTATATGTCACTTGGATATTCCAACTCCTCTTCAATTAAAGTTAGCAGATGTAATGTGGTCTCTTTTGTCAACCTAAATCTGCGGTAAAAAGTCATATTGTCTATGAATCTATGATTATGAAATAGATCATTTCTAATATATATTTGTTTGTTTCGTGAATATCAAAATCATCCAATACATCTATCAATGATCTCGTAACACCACTCACTCATCCACAGCCGCTAGACATGACAATTCCCTCCTCAGGCAAGCCGTTGACTACGTACCCGACGTGACCGACAAACACAAAAGACCTAGACACCAACTTTTTGACCTTGGGTGACCACCCCAACGACACCCCCCCCCCCCTGTCGCTAACCTTTTCTGTTTCAGAGACAGCCAGGATCAAGAAACGAAGACAACGACACACACACACACACATACACACCCCCCATACCCTCCTTACCCCTCCCCTCCCGCGCTGGGCTAAGGGCCACCTTAGCAAAGCGCATCCCAGGCTGCATAGTCGCACTACCCTACCCAACCATACGACACATAAACATGACACTACCCCTGGGGTTTACACAGACGAGCCGGCGAAGCAAGAAGAGCGCCAGAAGAAAGGGCCCTAGCCGGCGGGGCCCAGCCAGGACAAAAGGAAGTCCCACAAAGCGCCTACACCGGCCGCATTTGCGGTCGGGGTAGACGACGGATGGGGCCCACCTACGAAGGCTGTCCAGGCCTACACGAGATGAGGCAGGATAAAGAGGGATAATCCCCCTCGATCCTAAATCATTGAGGCCAATTTCTAGTCATGGAATAATGGCGCAGCGCACTCATCCACAGTCCACAGGAAAAAGAAGAAATGTCTATTTAAAAAAATTATAACTAGCTCTAAGTACTGTCAATAGTGTCAATTTTTTCATTAATACAAGTTTAAGCGGTCAAATTTGAGGGTTTAAATTAATCCTAGATTAATATATAGATTTGAAACGGTGCAAACAAAATGTTATATTTTAATCCAAGTTCAGACTTAATCCTGGATTAAACACTATGGTGCAAACGGGCATTACAGTTTTCACTATTATACCTAGAAAAATTGTAACTTAAAATAGTCGAGGATTACAACGTATACATGGAGATAGCAAAAAAAAACGATAGACCCGTATGGTTCATGAAAAATGTCTTATTTTGTAATACTCTATTGCCTCTAGGATATATGGTACATTTTTCTGAATGAATAATAATGGAGCAACTATATTAGTCGCATTTTAAAAACAGAAAATTTTGCAGCATTTTCTTTAGATTTTTTGTTTACTTTATAGTCCACAAATTTTGGTACAAAGAAGATGGAAGAATCTTCAGTTACACATTGCCAAAAAAAAAAATGGGCTGGGCTGTAGACCACACTAGTGAATCCGATTCTAAGTCAGAAGTACATAGCGCCAATATTTGTGGCTGAATATATGACCTCGGATGGAGCGGAGTCGAGCGGGATTATCGCTCTTTGCCCACCAAGGTACAACACAGTAACTTTAATAGAGCCATTATACGTTAGTGTGCGCAATATGCGCAAAATGACCTTCAGCGACATCTATAAGTTTCGAGAATAACTCAGGTTAAGAATCTGTGGGTTCGGGTTTGCGCATGAGCTACATTGTGACGGCATCTATTATAATTTCTCCGAATTACTACCTTGGAACTTAAGGAGATTACAGAAAGAGTATTGCATCCTCTGTTTGGTTGTCTTGCTGATAAAAAATAACTCAGTGACAGTACGAGCTTTGCCGATAGTCTCTTGAATTTTCCCACACCCAATTTCAATTTAACATATTTGTATTTTATTCTATAACGATTAAAGGCTCATATTTTTCAAACAAGTTTTATTATCCCATTGTTCTGTTTTTAGGTATCAATAGTTTAAAAATATTGCTGTTAATAGATCGTATGTGCCTATTGTTCTGGGGAAAATTGTAGAGAGTTGTTTGAATGGAAATGTAAACAGCCATTGACTTTGATGTTATTTTTACTGAGCTAGTAAAACTTTATTTTTAATACATTTTTATTCAAGTGAGGTAGATTGGTTTGAGGTAGTTATTGAAATTATATTTTTCGAATACAGGATTGGCAATGGTCACAATAACTTAATAATATTCTACGTGTTTATAAATATGCATTTGTCTTAGTAACTTCCTATTTACTGATTATTTTTGGTTATTTTCCGTTTGTAAAATGAGGGATTCTTCTGTAACTCTGCAACTGTAAAATTTATAAAAAAAATGGTTTTAATTTGACCCCGCACAAAACCAATGGAAAAAAAACTTTTCGTCAAATTGCTTGAAATTGTGGGATCAAGTAGGTGATATGATGTAGATTAAAAGTCTCCATGGGCCCGATCACCGCCTATGCACGGTTTCGGAGATACGTGAGCTGAAAGTCGCTCAATATAGCACTTAGCGTTACCCAGGATTAACGCCGTGGACATGGCAGATACTTGACCCCATGTGTATGTGTACGCGCATGTGAGTGTGTGTGTAAATGTGTATGTATGTGTGTACATGACCGTATGCGTGCGAAAGTGCCCACGTCTTCGCTTGAGTATAATAAAGAACCGACGTACTCAGCGATCCCCTCAATGAAGATGAAATGGTTCTCCGAGAATTATTAAGGATACTTCCATCAACAATTGCCATCAAGAGGATTTATTATCTCAATGTTTAGAATTTAATTATTCATCCTGAAATCGAGTATACTCATTAGAATTCGAGTGAAGGATATTTATCATTATCTTCATGTCTTGCATACCCTAAGTATCATATAGTAGCCGCTACCTGTTCGCATTTTCCTAAAGTTTTTGCTCCTTGATTACATGTATAGAAGTAACCAAGAATGGGTTCATCTTCATTCTCAGGTTCAGGATGATTTACATACTCTTCATTAAATGAGATCCATAATTGATGAACCATGGCACATCTGAATCGAAAAAACAGCCTAACCCTCATGAAACCTGATTCATTTGTATTTTGATCCAAGTAAAAAGTGCGTTCTTCATCTTCTTCCCCATCATGATCAATTATGCCAGCTGTTAATTCAACCTATTGTACTCTTCGGCGCACCAGGTTCTCTATTTTTACTCGTGCCTCAACAACGTTAACTTCTTGCACTGAATCAGCATTCTATCAGCTAGATTTTCGTCTGTGCTTGCCATCGGGGTGGTTCTGATATATGTATTTATTTATTATAGCTCCAGAAAATCACTCAAATTCGGGATATGTGTCAGAAAAAAACTTGAATATTCTTTGGAGATGTCCGTTTCGAACCTCTACTAACCGTTTTGTTTTGGTTATTAGTCTTGACTCATTTGCCTCTTCAGTTGAGAATTGAGACTGATTTGGCTGTAGTATTGGTGTCATTTTCGTATTCTAACCAATTCTCTGGCAGGTAGGAATAACATCTCGATTTCCACGATTTACAATACATAGATCTTGTTGCAAAACAGTCTCGCATTCCATTAACATCTCTATTAAACCCGTTCAGGAGAATTATGGCATTGTTGTTAGCAGAGTTTGAAAAATAAAGACCTTGAATGTCTAATATATAGTCATCAGGAGCAACTATCACTGAAGGCTTTACCAAATGTTTATCTTTGTGGACACAGTGTGATTGTCTTAGTGCTTTAGAACAAGAACTTGTCTCAAAATCTATGGAAGTGCAGTCAATATAGGTGACTACTTTTAGTTCCTGTGGAGTAGGATTATACAGGGTGTCTCATAATTAGCTGCCAACCCTGAACAGGCCGATTCTATGATCAAAACTAAGTAAAACAGTTCATATGAACATGGGTCCGGAAATGCTTCCTAAGGGCACAGGGACCCATTGAAGAGGGAGGAATGGAAATCATTTTTTTGCAATGTATCTCAAATCGCGTTGTGATAAATGAATGAAATTTGGTATACACAGCTAAATTTTGATGAGCAATTTGATGGACTAATCCATTTATTTCCACAAGGTCCATTGGGGTGGGTACGGGGGGGCCCTTGGTACTTTGCGTGTGTAACTTTTTCATCTTTGACTTTTTAACAAATTGGACAGCAAATTCCGTTTTCCCGAACTGTTTTACGTTAAAAAGGTACTCTTGTTTCAAATCGTTATCTTTAACGGTTTCTGAGAAAATCGCTCTTGAATTAATCCCACTTTGGTCAATTTCATAGTAATTTAAACAAAAAATAATAATAATAATTTAAT